CCAACCCAGCCTCTCCCTCAGCAGCCATGACAGGGAGCCTCACTAGTCCAGCCTCTCCCTCAGCAGCCATGACAGGGAGCCTCACCAGCCCAGCCCCTCTCTCATCAGCCATGACAGGGAGCCTCACCAGCCCAGCCCCTCTCTCATCAGCCATGACAGGGAGCCTCACCAGCCCAGCCTCTCTCTCAGCAGCCATGACAGGGAGCCTCACCAGCCCAGCCTCTCTCTCAGCAGCCATGATTTCTATGACAGCCCACACTTCAAACAGCCCATGATGTCCCCATTTTCCCCAGCAATGTCCTCCATATTGATCCTTCTCCTGTGACTCCTCTATAATGCCCCCCTACCTCCACCCCACCCCCTTGCCCCGGGAGCCCAGCCTTTCAGCCAAGCTCTGTCTGTCTCCATTACCTCCATTCAATGAGAGGAGATCGAGCACTTCACACCTACTGCACGATGTGTAACGCGCGTTGTCCGCGTGGGACCACTGGGTCACTCATCGGTTGCGACTAGTTCCTATCCAGTAGAAGGACCCTGTCCTTTCTGAGGATAGGAAATAGCTTGCTCAGTGTGAGTAAGCTAGTTTCTATCCTTCTAAAGGACCGTTTTGCCCCCTACTGGTCAGGTCCTGTATAGGGATAGGAACTAGACAGCTCACAGTGAGCGAACTAGTTCCTATCCTTTTTGCCCCTAGTGGTCAGGTCCTGTATAGAGATAGGAACTATCCTGCTCACACTGAGAGAGCTAGTTCCTATACTGCTAAGGGACCTCTATACCTTCAGCTAACCTTTACCTTTACAGGGATAGGAACTACAATGGAGAGAAAAGAACAAATAAGGGTGCGCCTAAGACAAGTAGAATTAATATATAAAAAATATATATCAGAGAGTACGAGCAGTGATACCTAAAAAGTCCGAATATAAATAATCCACATATGCAGGAGGTAGTCCTAGTGGTACATAAAATGGTATGTGAAGTCCCAGATGTATATCCGCAGCTTCAAAGTGTATATGTGAAGAAAACAGAAGACAAGGGAAACTCCAATGGTATAGTATGAACGGTAAATAATATTGTATATATAATAGTAGAACTACTCACAATATTCAGAGCTTAAATCCAGCTCTGGTATAAATGGCACGTAGTTGAATAATCCCCACTCAAGGATATACAGTGCTCCTCTTTTGTTCTTTAGCTGAGTACTTTGGTGGAATAGTCCAGCTCGAGGTAAAAGGATAAAATATATAGTGCTCACTGTATAGTTGATAAAATGTAGAAACAGAATAAAATATACTCACGGTATATAGAGCAGACATACTGCTCGGTGGATGGCGTATGGGTGGTATAATTCCCACCTTAGGACTCTTGGTACTCCAATATGGACAAAAAGGTAGTAGTAGTCAGGTCTTAATAAAATAAACTTGCAAATAGTAAAATAATAAAATTATACTAAAAGAAAGTAATATAATTCTAAGGTGGAAAGAGGAATGTGGCAACCAAATGTATAATAGCCAAATATTCCTTTATTAACACTTAGATTATATAAAAAGTTCCTATATGCGTTTCGCCACAATAGGCTTCATCAAGTAGAAACTTATAAAAAGAGAAAACAGACCTAACATATAGCACTTATATAAGAAAACATAAAATTGCACAGATAAATTGAAATTCCCGCCAAAATGACGTCACCAGCGTCATGGGAGTGGACACAATTCAATAAAAACTTAGAAAATATAAAAAATCAATATAAGAGTGTTTAAAATATAGTATATAAGTCAGAAGCATTATTTGTACAAAAAATATTCAAAAACGAGGCTTTACAGTGTCAGAAATTATATAAATTATAGCATCACGTGACGCAGAAGTAAACAAGAACGATAGGAACTAGACTGTTCACTGTGAGAAATGTAGTTCCTATCCGGCAAAATGACCTTTATAGCTCCAGCTCACACAGGTCCCTTACGTGGATAGTAATACCTAGTTCCTATACTGCTAAGGGACTGCTATACCTTCAGCTAACAATATGAACTTGACAGTTCACAGTGAGAAATCAAGTTCCTATCCTGTTACCCTCCTATTCTAAGAACACCCTGCCTAGTAATGCCCCCTAGATAAACTTAGAATCAATTTGTTGCATATTTTATGCTGTCTGCACAACCTTTCCATGCTGTTAGTTAATAGTTGTCAATATTTGATTGGTAATTAATGATACTCCCACTAGACCCCCCTTATTGCATAAGATTTATAAGCGGTGTTCTGTTTAACAAATTTTGGACATTTTCTGAATCAGACTCCTCTGTATGGTCTCTCAAGAGTGTCTCCAAATACCTGAGGTCGTGGTACAGTTTGGTTAGAACTATAAGACCATGGCAGGTAATTCTGCTGATCATCAAGGACAGGACATGTTTCAACACTTAATATCGTGATTCTGGTGTCTATAGCTTGTCCCTGCAGGGTTTTCAATGTAAACACTGCCTTTTGAGAGAAAATGCATCTCTATGAGTAGATGCTGATTGGCGCAGTGAGGCATTTTTGCCATGCATGCGCAGTAGTCTTCTAATGCTATCCAATGGGAAGCAATGGACTGGTTAATATCATCAAGAATGATTATTAGCCATTGAGGCAGGGCCAGCCACTGCGAGCCAACACAGCGTGGGAAAAAAAGTGAGGGCGCCAGTCACACTCAGACATACTCACTGACAGACACACACACTCAGTGCCTGACACACACTCACTTATTTGACACTCACTAACAGACACACACCTATCGTACAGTGCTGCATAATTTTTTGGGGATTTATAAATACTAATAATAATACTGGCACACACACACACACACACACATTCTCTCACACACTCACAAATCATTAGTTTTTTAATTTAATGGCACCCAGCCTCCAAACGTTCATTTCCAGTTTGGGATGCTCTGCCTCTCATTTAGAATGTTGTCACAGAACGTTCAAACTGCGTAACGATGTGTCAAAACCACAGACCGCAAGGGAAGCCTCGGCGCGTGCCGACCCTGGGTGGCAGCCCGTTCATTAGACGAACGCCATTCAGGGGGAGCATTTGTGGATTCCAATGCCCCTTGGCGTGCTCACACCAATCAATTAGAACATTGGCAACACGCAACATAAGTGTGAAACCGCAAGGGAAGAAATTAATGAGTGCGTCCCTTGGTGGCCGCCGTTCGTATAGACAAACAGCATCTAGGGGGAGCATTTGTGTGGCCAAATAAAGTGATTGTTGTACCCCTGGAACAGTGTGTCATCCAGTTACTGGGGGAAAATAGGTCTCTTCATTCTGCATTAGCTGATGTAACCAGTCCGGTTACCCTCGGCCCGCTACAGAGACTAACATGGTTTCCCACATGACAAGAAAAACAGTATAGGCATATAGTTAAAAGAAAACAAACAGATTTTATTTTAAATTTCTTTTTTATTAAAAGTAAACAGGAATAAAGTTTAACATTGTGAAACATGTACAGTTGTTGCTTTATTCTATTCTATTCCCATAAACATAT